TGCATTACACAATCAGTTTCCATTCTGAGAGGAGCTGCAAATGGCAACTGTTGTTCTATGAATAAATGGTGAAGTAATCAATACAACAGCCATACAGTCTGTCATTATATGCTAGCCATACAACCATAGGAAACTCCACTTTCATGTTGACAATAGGCTATTCATTCTGTTTGTAATGAAATAGTACAACTCACAGTCTAGTTGTGTATCAGATATTTATTTGTACAGTCATTGTGGTCTTTAGAAAATGTACTTATTTGGTGAAATGACATTATTACATCTTAAAATCCATATCTATTCATTTCCATAGTTCAAAAATTACTCATATTTAATTAACAGGGTTTTACCTTGACTTTTATGACTGGGGGTCTGGGGGTTCCCCAATAATTACTCCTAAGGGACCGTGCAGGCTGTATGGGCGTCCTGTAAAGTAATGTAATGGTGTAGTGTACTGTACATCTTGATTATTACTTTAGAGCCTGGAATGAATCAATGATCCAAGTGGACAGTGGTCATTATTGATGGAAGGGCGGTTGGGTAGCCTAGTGGTTAAAGCATTCGCCCGTCACGCCGAAGATCTGGGTTCGATTCCCGACATGGGTACATTGTGTGAAGCCCATTTCTGGTGTTCCCCGCCGTGATATTGCTGGAATTCTGCTAAAAGCGGTGTAAAACCATACTTACTCACTCACTCACTCATTATTGATGGATGAAATAACAGACCCATCATAGCTCTAGGTACAATGAATATTATTGTGCCTCCTTTGGGACGCAGTATATTTTTTGTCTGCGTCCATTCTCTACATTTGTGCATCGCATGCAACTCTGTGGGGATTTTGTTGGAATACAGATAGGAACCACAACTGTAGGCTTAGTGATTTCTTGATCATTGTTTGCAACTCAATATTCATATAGCAGTACCTGTAGAATGCCTACAGTCTTCTCCATGATCGAGGATGACTTGTAAGAGCGTTCCGCAAGGCCATGCTTCTGTGTTGTCTTCATGGGCAGAGTGTGAGATGACATAGATACAGATCACCCTGAGATTCCAGTTCCAAGATCGGTCTTAGGTTTCTCGAAGCACCTGTCTGACTCAAGCCCTTGTGTGTAATCAAATTATCTGCAGTGTATCAGCTGTAGAACATTAGCAAGTCTAGAGCCAGCTATAAGGAAATATTAAGTTCATTTCTATATTAAAACAAGTCTGAAGAGGAAGTATTTCCTTGCTGTAATCATTAGTGAGCAAGCAGCGTCCATGGTGTGCACTTGTGGAGGGGATGATTCGATGTAGCTGTAGCAGACTGGGGCATATCAGGGGCTTGTGTTGGAACCGTAGGAGTCTCTTGTGGTGAGCGGATTGGTGGATTATGATTGTAGGGTTAAAGGTTTGTTACTCTTTCAATATACAGACAATCCCAATAAGGAAGTAGTTGGTTTCTATAGTGTTGTATACAATTTAGAAGTTAGCATTAAACAGATTTATCACAAGTCTATTCAGATGTTTTTGAAACATGTTTTATCTCATGTAAGTAATTATGTTGTTCTTATCAACATGAATCTAACATGTGTAAGAAACTATCAGTAGGTGTTGTGAAGTTTCTACCCAAGTCTTCTAAGGTTCTGCACTGGAACTATTACTTCCTCCCAATTAATTACAGTTTGTCCTGAGTAATTAGGTTGTTAAGGTTCAGTGTAAAACAACGAAGATAACCTCAGTTCTTGCTGAAGTTTGTTATTTTGTAAGAATTTCAGAACAGGCACAGAGGATTTTGTGAGATTTTAGTTTGATAAGACCTCCCTCTGCCACCTTGGTGCCTTGTTATTAAAGACATGAAGCTTCTTAACCAGGTAAGCACAACATGATTGTTTTCCTAAACAAATTTGGTTACACCAACAGATTAGAATAATACTAAGAACAACGAAACTATTTTTGATAATATGGATCAAGTAGGGTACAAGTTTTCCTTGTGTTCGAGGTGAATAAATTTCCTGTTAACAGTCACATGTTTATTGACCTTGAATATGGAGAATATATATATTTGTTGTCACAATTAAGTCTGTGTGCAGTGAAACCCTGGTGGAATGGATACCTGCTCTTCTTCTTCTTCTTCTTGGGGGCGGTCGGGTAGCCTAGTGGTTAAAGCGTTCGCTTTCCACGCCGAAGACCCGGGTTCGATTCCCGACATGGGTACAATGTGTGAAGCCCATTTCTGGTGTCCCCCGCCATGATATTGCTGGAATATTGCTAAAAGCGGCGTAAAACCATACTCACTCACTCACTCTTCTTCTTCTTCTTCTTCCTTCTCCTCTCTCCTCTCTCCTCACTCACTCACTCACTCACACACACACACACACACAGACACACACACACACACACACACACCACACCACACCACACCACACCACACCACACCACACCACACCAGATAGAGATGTTTCATGTGTGCCTAAAGCCGAAATTCCATAACTTATCAGCTGCTTTTTTTCACTTTGATTAATAGCAGTATTATCTTCATCACATTGCAGGAAATGTAAAACGTAGGAAAGGTTTTCCATCATTGAAACAGTCCTGGAGGTTGACTGCTGGGATGTTTGGCTCGGTGCCAGTTGAAATAAATGATAGCCTTCTAGTTACTGAATGTCACTGGCTGTGTTGTCTGTTGGGGGCGGTCGGGTAGCCTAGTGGTTAAAGCATTGGTTCGTCACGATTAAGACCCGGGTTCGATTCCCGACATGGTTACAATGTGTGAAGCCCATTTCTGGTGTCCCCCACCGTGATATTGTTGGAATATTGCTATCTAAACGATAACCTTCAAATTAAATCAGTTGTTGCCAGGTAAAGTAGATCATACGGAACCCTTCTCTCTCTGTCTCTCTCTCTGTCTCTCCCCCCCCCAATACTTACTTCAGCACTTGTTATGGTAAAAAAAGTCACTGGCCTCACACTTTCTCTCTTTTTTCTCCTCGAAGTACTAAGTAGCGAATAAACCTTCCCAGAAAGCAAAAGATAGGGGGCAAAAATCATTTGTTCGATTATGGTATTTTCAGACATTTCCTTTGATACCTGCTTTTTCCTTTGGACATTTTGACTGAATATAGATGTAGTTTGTTAATGCATTACAACAAGATCCTGGTATAGCCATGCTCTACTGTTCACCACTGTAGATTGGTCCAAATAGTCAGATGTTATGTCAGACCATGTCCAAACTCATGGGTTTCACACCGAACTGGTAATCTGTTCTACTTACTCACTGATTGATTCCACGGCTTCTACTTATGCAACTTGACCTCTTTTGTCCATGCGTCATGCCTTAGAGGAAATGTGCTATAGAACAACTTCACTGGATTAATTTCCTGGTTTACATGTAACTATGGTGCTGATGTAGCTCAGTGTTCTGTTTGGTTACTTTTCACTGATGAAAGTCGTCTAAGGCACCGCTATTAGAGTTGTGTCCTTTAGTTGTGCCAGGATTGATTGACAATGGAGTTTGAATCCCAGATTTGCATGATCGTGATCCTTGGTCTTTTGTCTTTGATTGAGGGATTTACGTTCCTAGGAACCCTGCGTCACATAAGTTGTCGATAGGTACAATTGTTGAAATGGAACAAACCCACTCTCTTATTGGGAGGACGGATGATGGCCAAGTCATCTAAGCCGCAATTTGGGAACTCAAGAAACCTTTCATCAGGGCTTCACTTACCTGTTCACCTGATTATGTTTCTAGGTTTGTTGGCACCATAACATTGCTCATGGGTTTCTCAAAAGTAATTTAAACGTAAACATAAAAGACCTGCATCATTTCGGGCTTTCCTCCCACATCAGTCTGACACGCCGTGATACAACTGGAATGCTGTTCAAAGTAGTATTCAAACCAACTCACTCATTGTAAAGCTTTCACTTTGTGATATTCCTGAAGTACAGCGGTAGAAACTAACACTTTTACTTTTTAGTTCACTTGTCCTTATCATATGAACTATTGGGCAGTTTGGCAAGAACTACATTACTAGTGCCAACTTCTAACGCTGAAGTACTGTTCAAAGCAGTGTTAAGCCTAACTAAGGTGAGATCGATACAGTTCTGATATGTGACACCCACATTACACTTAATACCTGACCCGTGAAGATTCCGGGGTAGAATAGGTCTTCAGCAACCCATGCTTGCCGTAAAAGGCATCTATGCTTATCGTAAAAGGCGACTAAGGGGATTGGGTGGTCAGGCTCGCTGACTTGGTTGATGCATGTCATTGTATCCCACTTACTTGGATCGATGCTCATGATGTCAATCACTGGATTGTCTGGTCCAGACCACCATCATGTAGCTGGTATATTGCTGAGGTGTTAAACAACAAACAAAACTTAAAACTTTAAGCATCACAAGTGAAGAAGACTTTATTTATTGACAAATAGATTTTAAAACATATTCTTAAAACGTTCTGCCTGTGTGGACTTTGAAGCCTGATAGGTCCCCCGTACACCATGATTGTCCTAGGCACCAGCTCTAATGAGGATTGGTATGGTCACAGTGTGGTTGATGTAGTGTCACTGGACCTGATGGCATGGATCATTACGCAGAGTTTTTGATTTACCTGGAATATTGCTGACTGTATCAGTAACAACATTCACCCAGTCTACAAATCCCAGATGTGGGAAAAGTCGGATTATGTCTGAATGAATCTGACTTATTGGCTGCATGGTAGGGAAAGGTGGCCCTGCTGTCAAAATCCCTTAGATTTGCCTGAAGCCAGTGATCATGGTTTTCGGTGCCTGATTCACCCTGATTATCGTCAAGAATCTGTGTTTGTCAACACCATACCTGTGCTTTTGGGTTTCACCAGAGTGTAAACATCTGAAACCTGAATCACTTCGGGCTGTCCTCCCACATCAACCTGACATGCTGTCATAGACTAAAATACTGTTCAAAGTAGAATTAAAGCCAACTCACTCACTCACTCAGTTGTTTCATGTAGAGACAATGACTAACTGTGAACTCTGTTTTTCAGGATCAGTATGACAACGTTTCGCTGCACACATTGAAAGGAATAGAGTTCTGTGAGAAGTATACTCACTTCTTAAAGGAAAGATGTAACGTGGAAATGGAATATGCCAGAAACCTCAAGTAAGTACCATCTTCTTTTTGCAGACTGATTCAGACTGATTCATGGCACTCACAACCTCGAACTTGGATATTTTAAATACTGTCATCAGCCTTTATCTAAGGCGCCTCAACTCGCTGTGCTGAGTTGCTTACCTTGGCACGCCTAAAGCTATGATGTGGGTTCAAATCTCGGTTCGCCCAGAATATGATTCTAGGTTTGACAGCATCATACCCCGTTCTCGTTGTTTTCACCAGAGTGATAAACATCTCAGATTATGCTTACATGTCATGATATATCTGGAATACTGTTCAAAGTGACGTTAACCCAACTCACTCACTCACTATCATCAGCCAAGTTTACTATCCCCTACAGTTTTATTTTATCTGACTTTCAGCTACTGGTAGTGGTTGAGGTCACATGCTTCTTGTTTTTGCGTTCTGGGTTAAAATATGTTTATGCATTTTTAGCAAAATTTTGGGGATAGACAAGGACAGCAGAAATGAGCCTTTGTTTCTAAACTGTTCTCAGCCATCTCTAGGTCATGGGTCACAAATCAGGCCAATACTGGTCTGGAACTGTTGTGCTGCATTCTAGCAGATAACATGGACAAATATTGATGTATTTCTGTCCAATTCATTCAGTAGACATGTCATATTTAAACTCGGGTCCAATTCAATAGTCTGCCAAATTGGTCAATATTGAGCCCACACATCAAGCACATGACTAAGGCTAAAACTGAAATGATACATGTTTCTTGATGTCAACTTTGACAAGACCCGTGTCAGTGGACTCTAATCCAATGTTGTAATGTTTAAGGACAGGTCAAATACTGGCCTGCCAAGTCTGTAAATACAAAGGGGTTATGATTGTGTGATAATGGCTTTAATATCTCTTAGATCTTTGATTTAAAGTGTTGCAATGATGTTTTGATCTTGTATGTGTACGCTTATGTTATAAGGAGCAGGGTTAACATGCAGAGATGCCAACCATTTCCGAAAAATTGAGCCGAAAAATGTGCTATTACGCTTCTACATTTTTTGTCATTTTTACGCTAAATAATTACATGCATAAAATTTCGTGGAGAGCAAATTGTTAATGCACTGGTGACATGAAGCATTCTGATGCGAGACAATACTGACCAATAAGAGCCATGCTTTCATAACATAATGTTAATATGTCCATTACTCAGTGATACACGGTTTCTGGTATGTGTCACGTGATAAATGTTATGTATGTATGGAGCTTTGAAGACATGTTTCACTTTTTGTGTCTAGGTCTAACATGTCTTTTCACATGAAATTACTATATTTTACCCCACTGAATACCATGATTACTCCAAAGCTTCAATTTAAATTAGGGTTGACAAAAGAAGATCTAAAGCATGCTGAAGCTATTCAATGAACATGTGAATGAGTCTGGATCTCAGTTTGTTGTAATTTGATTCCAGTACTTGAATCCAGAAGTGGCAGCTCTTTCTGTCTAGAGTTTCAGTTGTGAAGGGTGATTTCCACTTGCATAGCTTGATGGTGACTTGGTTTCACTTTATGTGTGTTATATGGTTTGAACCCGTGAAGATCCGGGTCAGAATAGGTCTTCAGCAACCCATGCTTACCGTAAAAGGCCACTAAGCTTGCCATAAGAGGCGACTAACAGGATCGGCTGGTCAGACTCACTGACTTGGTTGATGCAAGTCATCGTATCCCAATTGCGTGGTTTGATGCGCATGATATCAATCGCTGGATTGTCTGGTCCAGACTTGTTTATTTACAGACCGTCGTCATAAAACTGGAAAATTGCTGAGTGTCGCGTTTAACAACAACAAACAAACAAACTGTAATTTGTTAGTGGAGTTATAATGAGGTGAGGGGTGGTCGGGTAGCGTAGTGGTTAAAGCGTTGTCTCGTCACGCCTAAGACCCGGGTTCGATTCCCGACATGGGTACAATGTGTGAAGCCCATTTCTGGTGTCCCCCGCCATGATATTGCTGGAATATTGCTAAAAGCGGCGTAAAACCAAACTCACTCACTCACTATAATGAGGTGATACTTTTATATAGCTGAATATTGTTGAGTGCAGCGTTAAGCAACAACAAACAAACATATTGTTTACCACAAAATCTGTTATTTGTTAGTGGAGTTATAATGAGGTAATACCTTTATATAGATAGAAGTTGCCAGTTTGTGACCTTAGTTGTCTTAAAACTCAGCATCTTATGTGCCTGTGTGCATATTTACATGAGTGTGTATATGTGAGTATGTGTTGAAGTTGAAGCAGAAAGTGTGTTTAAATGAGTGTGTTGACGTAAATGTGAATGGGTGCGAACATATGAGCTGGAGAAGGAAGTAAATAGGTTTAACAGAGAAATGTGATATTCTGTTGAACATAAATGTAACTGTGTTTATCTTCCCTATTGGAAATGTGTGTAGCCTATTTCTGGTGTCCCCAACTTTGATTTGGCAGGAAAGAAGCTAAAAGCAGTGTAAAAACACTCACTCACTCACTCACTCACTCACTCACTCACTCACTCACTCACTCACTCACTCACTCACTCACTCACTCACTCACTCACTCACTCACTCACTCACTCACTCACTCACTCACTCACTCACTCACTCACTCACTCACTCACCTATCTCGATCTCTTGATAATGTAAAGCAGAATAGATTCCATGTACCCCATCAGTTTGCAACTTCAGCCCCTAGTCTGAAACCCACATCGATTGTGAGATGTGTTCATCAAGTAAAAATCCTTATATTAATGAAAATATTATTGTGAAAAGGCAACTTCAGGCTGGTTGATTCAGAAATATTTGGCACAGACTGCCTGCACATGTTGCGAGAAGCATAGATGTAAATGATCAGGATCGTGATGCAAGTTGCCAGATCATGCTGTGTTTGTTTCAAGCTGACTAAGAGCTATGAAATGGGTGTCGATGCTCAAGTCATTAGTGTCAGTGTCAAATCCACATACACTTTGGCTTATCTTACTTTTAAGCACTGATGATGCTATAGTGTATGAATCTATTTTGTCCCTTGCTGTGATGTGTCTGGAATAGTGCTGTAAGAGACATAAGACCATACTCTCTCTTTTTCCGTAACAGTTTTACCCATGTAATTGGGGCTTTATGGTTTTGTCTGATTGTGACCACCACCTGCCATTTGTTTTTAAAACCATGTGGCACGTGGACATGTTGATGGTTGTTTAACACGACACTCAGCAATTTTCCAGTTTTATGACGACGGTCTGTAAATAATCAGGTCTTGACCAGACAATCCAGTGATTGACATCATGAGCATAGATCCACGCAATTGGGATAAGATGACATGCATCAACCAAGTCAGCAAGCTTGGACATCAGATCCCCTTAGTCACCTCTTACAACAAGCATGGTTGCCTTTGACTACAAGCATGGGTTGCTGAAGACCTATTATACCCCGGATCTTCTCAGGCTGGACATCCCAGGGACATCATATCATGCATGTCTCCTTTATCCCCCTGACAATGTTGTCCCCCGCCGTGATATTGCTGGAATATTGCTAAAAGCGGCGTAAAACCATACTCACTCACTCACTCCCTGACAATATTTGTTTCTTGACACATTAGCCAGTCATATCAAAAGTCAATGTCATCTTTTAGGTCATGGCCTGAGGAAAAGTTTGTTTAACTGATAACTCAAGAAGCATTTATTGTAAGTCATAAAATTTGTTAGATGTCATCCTTTGGGCTGGGCCACGATTTGGAAAGGTTCTGAGTTACCTCTGTGTAAGGTCAAGGTCACGGCGAAGGTCAAAGTATGTTTGCCATTCTCACTAAATTTCCTTTTTCTGCAGACTTTTAGAGTATTTTGTATGTATTTGTTATATCATTACAATACTTCTGTATTACAAGTGATGACAATCTTATAATATCAGTGGTAGGTCACGATTACATACTTTCTATGAGAAGCTTATGCTAATTTGCGTTAGTGACCAACTTAGTAAACTGGCCTAGTACCAGCCACATCAGTCTCATTGTAGGTGTTTCAACAAATATGTAAGAAGACTAGTTCTGTCTCCCAGACCCTAGAGACCCGTAAAGATCTGGGGTAGAATAGGTCTTCAGCAACCCATGCTTGCTGTAAGAGGCGACTAACGGGATCGGGTGGTCGGGCTCGCTGACTTGGTTGCTGCATGTCATTGATCCCAATTGCGTGGATCGATGCTCATGATATCAATCACTGGATTGTCTGGTTCAGACTCGATGATTTACAGACCACCGTCATATAGCTGGAATATTGCTGAGTGTGGCATTTAGACAACAAAACAACCAACCAACCCAGACCCTTGAGAAGAAAGGATTGTTCTTACCTCCATTTGGATTTTAGTTTTTTTATTTTGTAGATATAATTTTTTGAATAAAATTTCTTTATTTCTGGGACTAAATGTCTGTCTATAGGTAGACATGTGGTCAAGACCAATATCACTGTCCATGTGTTTTGATAATGACAGGGTTATGTTTTACAAATTAGAAAAGTTTGGTTTATTCACATAATAATGTCATCTGTACTTAGAGGCTTGCCCTGGCATATGGATCATGCTGTATGTAGATTAGGGTTATGTATATGGTCATTAGCACTGACAGTCCAGGCTTCCACCAGTGGTGGTTTTATACACTGGGTCATTTAATTCACAGTGATGTTCTGAAGATAGCCATTACTGGATATTTGAAAGGGATCTCAACTATTAAGCAGTTTGTAAACATTTTTTTTGTGCTCAATAGTCCTTTTGGTCAATGTTAGGTAGTTTAACTTTCAAATGTATAGGGAAAGAAGTCATCACTAGACGATGTTTCTGTCCTGTGTTAGAATTGGTCTTCAGCAGCCCTTGCTTGTCGTAAGAGGCGACTGCCGAGATCGGGTGGTCATACTTGCTGACTTGGTTGATGCATGTCAGTGTATCCCAATTGCGTAGATCCATGTTCATAATGTTAATCACTGTATTGTCTGGTCGAGACTCGATTATTTACAGTCCACCGTCATATA